AGAAGACGCTTAACATGAATTAACACTCAGCGGAGTGATTGTCAGATGTGTCTAGTGAGTGATTCAAGGTTACATTAAAATCTCCCCTTGTGGATGTGGACTAGACCAGCTGTCCACAACCTTTTTTGAACCATGGACCGGTTTCGTGGAAAATTTGTCCCTGGACCGGGGGTGGTTGTAGGATTGCTCAATAGTAACTTGTATTCTCATATAAATGATTGCTCAGCCTCAGTGCCCTATAAAACAAACAATCAGCAGCATGCAGAGTAACTCACTAACATAAGGGCCACACACAGTAAGGCAGAAGTTCCTCTGCTGAGGTTAGGAGCATTTTTCACAGATCTCTGTCAGGCCTCCAGTTGTGACACATGTGCTGTCCCCATCTCCTTCTCCTCAGCTTGGTTCCTGCTCTGTTATCAGAAGAGATCAGACAGGAGGCAGAGGCAGATCAGGCACGCACAATTTCCTGCTGGTGCATTGTGCATGGCCGCAAGGAACTAAGTGAAAGCTGTGGATATGGGTCCTAGATGTGGCAGTGGGCCCTGGGCACTTGCCCATTTTTTTTACACACGTTTGTCTCACTTACTAATATCCCTTGGCCACGGACCGATACTGGTCCGTGGCCTGTTAGGAACTGGGCCACAGTCGCCCCCATCAGGGCCGCTTTGGCCCTGATGGGGGCGGCTGTGGCCCAGTTCCTAACAGGCCAAGGACCAGTATCGGTCCGCGGCCTGGGGGTTGGGGACCCCTGGTCTAGAGCATGGAGTTGGCCAGAGTTAGGCAAATAAAGATTTGCCAGAGTAATCTATGTAACTTGCCAGAGACAAATAGAAAACGTTCCGGACCCTGACATTCCTGAACTTGAGTTAGTCTAATATATTTGCTAATTAAGATGGAAACAACTTTGTTCTTAGATTGAGGGTCAGTAGCATGAAATACAGTAGCAAAAATATGTTGGATAATCTAGAAATTTTAGTGTGTTTTGAAGCGAGTCTCTTGAAGGAAAACAAAATGCTCTCTCAGAATTTTAGTGTGAGAATGAATCATCATCCTTTTTTTTAAAGGGATATTTAAACCTTTGCCATTTCAGGAAATTGTCTTAAAGGACTCATTTTAATGGGAAGGCATTTCCAATTGAGGAAAAGGGGGGGAAAAAGAGGGAAAGAGGAAGGAGGTTTAAAAATTATAAGATCTTATGCCTCCTCTCTTCAACTCTCCCCTGGAGTGCAACTCCACAGAAAATAAAAAGGAGAGAGTATAAAGTAGAAGAACTGACAAGATTTGGGGTAACAAGTAGAGTAAAGGAAGATCTTACAATGATATAGAGTAGGGTAAAAAATATAGAGAGAACAAGAAAGGAATAGATAAATGGAATGTGACTTAGAAGAATGTCACCTTTTGAGAAGTAGGCGAGAAGTAAAGCTACGAGCAGTGTACTTAATAAGCACACCACCAAATGCCATAGGTTGCTGGTCTAGAAAAATACCAGAATCCATCTGGTTGGGCTATGTGGGAGTTTAAAAAAAAAAAAAGGGAGAAAAAGACCTCTATAAGTCTAAGGACCAGTGAGGGGCGAAAAAAAAGTCAGTAAAATAGGCAAATTGAGATTGGTAATGTCATGTAGTATATACCTCTAAATCCAAGGGATATTCGTAAGTGAGACAAACGTGTGTAAAAAAATAACAGCATATAAAGCATAAAATACTGCATAAAATATTGATTAAAGCTCTTAGGGGGGTCACCAAAGTGGAAAAATATAACTACTGCAAAATAGCAAAACTAAGAATCATAGGAAAAAAATCCTTGATGATATAATATATCTAAATAAAAAAATAGAGATAAAACAGTATTCTGAGTGGTTATATTAAAAATGCAAATAGAATGAAAAGAAACATAATGGTACTGTTAAATAAAGGTATTTGAACGGTTGTTGAAGGTGTAGGTCTAGGAATGTACAGTAGACTTTTTTTAAGTTATCAGGGGAAACTACTCTATAATCAGAAGCATTTTAGCATAATCAGAGGCAAAGAGATCATCTACTCTTCAATGCACATGAAAACAGCAAAAAACTATTTAAACTGTAGCAATTTCATTAGTAGTAATACAGTAAAACTCCCAGTTACGGGGATCAGTAGGTGACGGATAACTGTAGTTTCCGGTTGCTTGAGGGTTAATAGTGACTCTTACACACCAAAATCCCCCCCCCCCCCGCAGCACTCCCGATCCCTCTTTCCATGGCCCCATTCAGCTGCCGGCTAGCTTCCACAGCCAACAGGTGAAGGTAAGCAGCCAGGAGCAATAGCCAGGTTTCTATTGCCTATTTCAAATTGCAATAGCAGGCTGGCTATTGAAACCCCGCCCAATGAGCAGAGGAGCGGACCTGAGAGAGAAAGTTCTCTCTTAGGTCGGCTCCTCTGATCAGTGGGCGGGTGCAATAGCCATCGTGCTATTGCCATCCTGCAATTTGCAGTAGGCAGCAGTAGGCTGGCTATTGTTCCCCATTGCTTACATTTCGCAGAATCTAGCAAGATGTAAACAAAGAATTTAGTTACAAACCAAATAAATTTAGTTGCTAATGAAATTTTTTAGTGTGCACCAAGCCACCGTCAAAAAAAAGAAAATCACGGACGTATTATGTTCTCAATTTGTTTTTTTGTTTTTTTGTGCCGGTTGATTGAGAGTGCTTGTTGCTTAAATGCCAGCTAATGGGTAGTTTACTGTACATGTAAAGCAAAATGAGCATATACAGCAGACTATATCTTGAGGCGGCGCATCAGGTGATCCCCTGGGATGCAAGGCACGATGCATACAATCAAGTTCAATAGGTGATTCTGCCAGATGATAAAGGAGTTCATTGAATAGGGCTTGCACCGCAGGTCTCAACTGATCCTCTGAGACAGATTCCAAGACTCCTCAGCATTTTTTCCCCCCTCTTATAATTTTAACTGCGTGCAAAAAGAAAAAAAAAGGCATGGATTCTCCCTTTAGAATATTGGGGCCACCTATTACACAAATGAGAAAGGGGTAACCAATAAATAAATAAACACACAGACGCACGCAGTGCTCTATTTAAAAAAAATTATAAACATTGTCCCTCAGTGTAAATTCAACATCAATCATGTCATCCAGCGATGTTGATCCAACATCATTCATAATTAACGGCGACCCGCACAAAAACAATGCTCTCCCATCGATACTGCTACTGCATATGTCAGCTCCCTAGCCGGGCGCTGAATATCAACAAACTGGCTGGGTATCCTGGGTTACGCTGTTGAGCACACATGGTCAAGTATGCATTCATGTTTGGGAGTAGTGACACGGGAAGTAGCAGTAGCATCAGTGGATCATCATGTCTTTGTTGTGATTAATGGCTCTACATCATTGGACAACACAATTGATGTTTTATTTATATCATGGGACTTTTTTTGTTTAATAAAATACTTTTTCTAAAGGTGCCTGTGTTTTATTAGTTACATTATTTTAGTGAATGAGTGAAATGTAAACAGTAGTGTTGGGGGACCTAGCTAAATGATCAAAATACAACAGACTGCTATTACCTAGGATTGCAAGTGCCTTGTTTCTGCTTTTGTTTCTAACTTTTGAATATAGAGATCCAGTAAATGGTTTTAAATTACTTTGCAAAATGTACAAAATGGATGTTATCTCTAGTGTTTAAGGAAGGTGCTGCTAAGTGGTTGTCCGATGATAGCCATAAGGAGACATATAGAATTTCTATTTTCCATAACTACTTTTTACGAGAGCAAACTATTTGATGTATGTCTACAAGAGTTAGCATGTTTTAGTTAATTACTTTAATTTACCTGCTACTGTGTGGTCTTCAACAATGGCTGATTGACAGAAAGCGTTTTACAGAAATAAATCACTGACTTAATAACAGGGGACATAGCCTGGTTTGCTGCAGTACCTCTGCTGAAAGCTTTGCAGCACTTTTAAATCCTTCAGTGTCTCTAAGGGCTTGTTCACACCAAATGCAGACCAGATCTGCATGAGTTTCTGCACATGCAGTGCAGTGGGTTGTGCCGTGTTTTTGATGCGTTCCAGGCCGTTTTTGGTTAAAAAAATTAAATATTTGTTTTAGTTTAAAATGGGCTTTCAGTGCGTTCCAGGGTTTTTGATGCGTTTGCATGCGCTTGAGAGCAGGTAAAATAGGGCTTGCTGCAGTTTTTTTTACATGCCCTGGAACTGAACGCTGCGGTGTGAACTAGAGCCCAAAAAGACAATTGGAATACATTGGACACAATTTTGATCCGGTCTGTAACGGTTCTGCTCCTGGAACGCGCTTGGTGTGAACAGGGCCTACGTGGCTTACTTGATGGAGAAACAATACTTTTACAGCATTTTTGTGTGCATAATGATACAATATATTACAACTTTGGAAAACAAGCTGGACTGTTAAATATTTTGGTTTAAGCTTTACTTCAGTGTGCTTTGCCATTAATGTGGGCTGTTATATAATGGTGAACCATGACCATGTTCTGCTTCCTGAGAGAAAGTTCCTTTGTGTTATCTATTGTAACTAGGACCTCGCAGGAATGCATCTGCAAGCACAATATTTTTTTTAGACTTTTTTAGTTTGGTTGTATTTTCTCTCCTCTTGTGCAAATTCAGCGTATTCATACTTAATTATGCGTCACTCAGTTTAAGTCAGATGTATGAAAATTGAGACAGTGGAACAGTTGGTTGTGTCAACCAGTTAAATATATGATTTATTTGAACAACAAAAAAAAGTGAATAGTGACTAGTTGCTATAAGCAACAATTTAATCTGTGCTCCTTTTTTGTGTTTACATTTCTATTTATCTGTCGTATAATGATATTAAATTATTCTAACTTTTTGTTTAGTTTATTTTAAATGATTTTTTAATAAACATAGCTGTATAATCCTCTCGACGAGGTCCTGTTCTTGTTCTACTCTATCGATATGATAAAAGGCAGTTGTGTTATTCAAAATAAATAAGCATAACCTTTCTTCTCTTACAGGCTTGAGGTTTCTACGAGCTTTGCGGCTTATTCAGTTTTCTGAAATTCTGCAATTTTTAAACATTTTAAAAACAAGGTAAGAAGATAATGTTCTTACTATCCATTTATTATACAAAAATTGTGTATCTGTTGCTTATCTAGTTTTTTACATTATTCAGTTTGTATTCTGAACAATGTGTACAGTAGTACTTCAGAGTGTGCATGTCTGCTCCCTAGTAACCATGTGTAAATCAGTGCTTTCCTAGTTTTAGTGTGGGCAGCAATGCCTCATACTGTCATTGTGTATAGCAGTGCTTCCTAGTAATACAAACCAAAAAAGGATAAAATATATCAGATATAAACCACACACTAAATATAGAAAACTTAACACGTTAATAAAACAAAATCCCAATAAGATGGGCTATCCCACACTCCCTATTCAACATACATTAATAATTGATAATTGTCATATAATCTCCCAGAAGACATACAATATACCATTCAATATAAAGGACATGTTAATGCAATTTAAAAGTTGCTAAAGGCAAATACTATATTACACATTGATATATTTATGAATCTGAGATATAAGGATCTCAGTACGCGGTCCAGTTTTGGTCGCCGGTACTGAGAAGGGAGGTCCTTGAACTGGAGAGAGTCCAGCGGAGGGCAACCAAACTAATTAGGGGAATGGAGCTATGAGACAAGGCTTCTGACCTTAATGTTTACGCTGGAATTAAGGAGATTAAGGGGGGATATGATTTTCATGTACAAGATGTTCAATGGTGACAGCAACATTGGCAACAAACTGTTTGAGATTAACTCTATTACAAAGACTAGAGGCCACCACCTAAAGTTGGTGGAGAAAAAATTTCAGCACAATGGGCGAAGAGGGTTCTTTAAAGTAAGAGCGGTTAAGGTCTGGAACTCACTGCCATCGGCAGTGATTTCAGCCAAGAGTGTAGATTTGTTCAAGAAACGTTTGGACAATTTCTTGAGGGACCGTAATATCCAGGGATACCAGTATTCCTAAGAATGAGATGATGCGTGGACCTATATGGGTTGGACTTGATGGACGTATGTCTTTATTCAACCCCAAATACTATGTAACTATGTAAGGATAGAAACCGCTAGAAAAGGGACATAAAAGGATTAGTGATGAGCTGGGGCTTGATGTGAACTCAGTGCACCTGAGTTTGCCCAAGCAAAACTGTTATCGACACCCCCCC